GTTCTCCACTGTTTAGCAGTGTTGTAGAGTGGAATTCGTTTGAAGTGTGCTGTACGCAGCCTGTTCAGAAGCCAGACGCAACTTCGCTTTGGCTCAAGTGAAAAAGAGACCGCTGTGCGAGCTCTGCTTTTCACATGGTAGCGGAGCATACTTGCTCCAGGGCTGTGTGATTAGCATCTCGGCTTCGTTGTCGCTATGGCGTCTGATCGACTTGTTCGGACCGGGCCCTGCTGGTGCTACTGAGAACCGGTTTACTCAGCCTCCGACTGCTACTGCGAAGGCTTCGCCTGCAGGAAGTCCCGTTGCAAGTCAAGGAGGTCCCGTTCCCACGTTTCCGCAAGCAGCGTTTGGTACTGCTACTGCTGGAACGCGTGTGCCGCCTGGTGCGAGTGCAGGAGGAGATTTCCAGAGCATCATGTTGGAGATGCTTAGACAACAGAATCAGACGACCATGGAAATGCTGCGTCAGCAAAGTTTGGCGATGCAACAGAATCAACAGATGTGTGCGGCGATGCTTCGTCGTATGGATCTTGGAGAGAAGCGACGAAATGAGGCTGATGAGAAAGCAGCAGAGACTGCTCGGATTGCATGCATTGAAGGCCAAGACTGTGGACCCTTTTGTCCCAGCACCTCCTTCGTCTTCCTCTGCAGCACCCACTGTTACCGCGTCTTACACTCCGAGTGTTCCACAGAACAGGGCAGAGAAGTATCTGCCTAACTTGCCGGTGATAGATCACCAGGGCATGAGCAAAGGACGCATGCGAGAAGTGGAGTGTTGGCACAGCTTTCTTGAGACGCTTAGTTCGTGGTTGGCTTTGCAAGACGAGGCCTACGTGAGAGAACTTCAGTTCTGCGTAAAGACCAAGCATGAGATTGATCAGGCGAGTTTGGCGGCAAATGTTGCTGCGAGGAGCGCGAAGCTCTTCTACTACTTGACTCAGTCCCTTGCCGAGTGGGAGAGAGGCCTGGAGCTTCTCCGGTCTTGCTCGAAGAGACAGTCTCAGAGTGCCACAGGGTACGAGGTGGTTCGGACGATCAATGCTCAGTACAGCATTGTGTCCCGGATGGAAGCAGTGGTTGTTCGAGAGCACTGCTTGAAGTTGCATCAAGAGTGCAAGAACATCCGCCAGCCCACCGGTGTGATCAGGCACCTTGAGGATGAGTTCTCTAGAGCGGAGTCGAAGTTGACCAACTTCACAGAGCTGAAGCTGTCTGAAGCAGATAAGTGCAGTGTTCTTCTGCAGGCTCTTGGACCTGAGGTCCGTCAGTATGTCCTGCTCCATGGGAGCTCTTCTGACTGGAAGGATCTTACGAAGAGCCTCACTTACTATGAGGAACAGGGTCCATTGAAGACCCTATGGTGAAATATGCCACGGATGGGTCGCCAGGTAAGGGCAATGACCCACGCCAGCACCGCCATACATGGGCGGCTGTGGCATTCAAGGTCCAGGCAAACCAGATTGAGGTGGTAGCCACGGCAGCAGGGAGTCTTGGTGGGCGTCAAACAGTGTACCGCTCGGAGGCAGCAGCTTTGTGTTTTGTCTGCCAGCACACCAAAGGACATGTGGATGTGACATTGGACTGCAAGGCGCTCTGCAACCGGGTTGCACGAGGCAAGCTGCCCGTGCAGTCGGCGGACCTGCTTGAGGTGATACTGGCGGCAGAAAGCAGGTTGGACCTACACTGGATAAATTCGCACCTCACAGAGGAAAAGTTCATCAAGAAATTTGGCCAGGAAGCACTATGGCGACATGCTGCCAACAGTGCTGTGGATTCCTTGGCACAAGAAAAGGCGGAGTCAAGGCGTAGTCAGGCCTGGACTCTAGACCTCAAGCGCAGAGACGCGGTGGTCACTAAAGTGAACTCGCTGCTGCAGGCTCGCATGGAGGCTATGCTGCAGTATGATAAGGATCAAGGACCCCAGGTAGAGTTTGTGAAAAAGCCGGGGCCACAAAGGCCAGGAGTGAAGAGAAACCCGGCCTTCACCAAGGACGCACATGGCCCGCTGAGTCGCAGACAAACCCAACAGTCTCTACTGCGAGGTGAGCAAGAGAAGGACCATGAATGGAAACAGCTCAGTTCGTCAAACAACTGGACTGTCAAATGCAGCCGGTGCGGGTTGTACGTACAGCAGACTGATGGTAAAGAAATGTTTGCGCTCAAAACTTCTCAGGGATGCTTAGGGCAGCCAGTGCAGATACCAGGCATCACCCCACATGCGAGTCACGAGCTGTGTAATTTAGGCCGTGAATGGGCATGCCTAAAGTGTGGGAAGTCTGCCCGCCTTGCTCCTAAGGTATACCCTTGGATTGCGTCTGTGTGTGAAGGTAAGGTTGCAAGAGGCTCCAGCAAAACTACACGTGGCCGCATGGATAAAATTGCAGAAGCTATGAGACTTTTATGTCGTCAACCGAGCCACCTGACTTTCGCAGCGCCGGCTCAAACGCCTGACAAGTCACAGGCGAAAGGAAAGTGGCTACCACCGAAGGTGGACAAAGGCCAGACCAAACTAGTCTTTCGCCAACGCAGTGACCTTTCCCCGCCAGCCTTGGGGGACTCCCGGCCGGATGGCACCCAAAGCACAAATCGCTGCCAAACAGAGGTCACGCCGGAGACTCGGCAAACGCGAGCGAGCTGCAAAGATGGCAGCAAGACCAGCAGCTCGGCCACAACTGCCAGCTCACGTGGACCCTCCTCAGGAGGAGGACAGCAGCTCGGACACTCCACAGCGGGGGCAGCACCCAAAACGGGGCAGCAAAGAGGCCAAGGCACGAAGCAAAGCCGCACCCCATTGAGGAAGTGGAGGTAAAGGAGGAGCTGCAGAAGGAAGAGAGAAGAAACAAGCCTCCCAGAAGGCCAAAGCGAAGCAAAACGCCGACCCGGGCTGAAGGAGACCCGATTGTGCTCCAGGAGGGACCTGGTGTCATCCAGGCTCGTGGTTCCTGCCTCCGGCCCCGAACATGTCTGAATACCGCGAGCAAAGGTTGGACCCAAAGCAGATATGTGTGTGATGGCCAATGTTGCTGGCCAGCCTGTGGGGCTTTCTGGAATAGTGGAGCAATTGCCTACGCAACCAGGGCAATTCCTCAAGTTCCTCCCGGACCACCTGGCTGGGTGGTGGCAACCAGGCCTTTACGGAGGCTTGACAAAGCTGAGCAGAGGCCGGACAAGGATGGCCTTTGGACTGGGGAAATCTCTGATATGCAAGCTGGGCCACGTCAGAGATTATGGTCAAGAACCATATTTCCATGATGCGCTTCCCACATCACTCCGTGCCTCCTCAGTCGAGGGGAGACCCTCCTGAGGCTGTGCCTTTCGGAAAATCCACTCGTGGGGATGACAATCCCGGTCTACTACACCATCAGTGAAAAAGTGGTGTTGCTCAAGGACCAACTACATGTTGGACAAGCTGTGGTGCCAGTATGCAGTGATACTCATATTGGCCTTGGCCACAAAAATCCATATGAGTGATCTAACAGGGTCAAATGTGGCCATCAATGTCCTGGGTACGTCTAATCAACGACCCAGGATATGCCTGTTTGACCTTGCCGACTGGGAGTGGGTGAATTCCCCAACCCACCCAGCACGGTACAGTTGGAAGACCTTCACGACGCTTCTGAAGCACTGCTGTGCTGATGCTGAGCAAGTCCTGAGGAAAGTCAACCGCCAGCAAACGGTGGAAGAAAACATAGCTCGCCTCCCTGAGGATTTGCCTCAACCTCAACACTATGGCAAGATGCTTGAACTTCAAGATGTGGTGGAGAAGCAGGGCAGTGGTTACAAGCTGAGCCTCAGGCTACGGGTTTAGCCCTCCTGGGGCTTGCCTGCCACCTTTTGCTGGAAGTGGTGTACCACTCCATGGTTACACCGCTGGGCCGTTTGGCAGCAGTCCCTCGAGCAACAGCTCTGGAAGGTGCAAGCTCTGGTGTGAACCACAGCTCTGAGTTGAGGTGACCCTCAACGGGTTTTGGTGAGCCAAACCCTGGGCGTAGGTTGGTTGCTGGTGACCGCGCCAAGAAGTAGCTGTAAGTAGCTGCAAGTTGCACCGTAGCTGTCAGCTCAAAGGGCTTAGGCAGGTCCAAAGCGAGCCTTGGACAGACTCGAACTTGCCTGGCCTCGGCCAGGCGGCGCCCGTACGCGCGCTGGGAAGGGAAAATCTGAGATCCTTGAGGACTCATCTGTTGATGTCCGCGTGTTTTGGTTTAAGGTCGGAACGCAACTTGAAGCTGCTTGGTAGCTTACTGCTTGGTAGCTTACTGCTTGGTAGCTTGGTAGGAAGTTGCTTGGTAGCTTGTTGCATGTTTTTGCCCTGTAGGAGCATGTTTCACGGCATGTCATGTTTGGCATGGTAGGACCAGTAGAGAGTGCTTTGAGCTGCCGTTTACTCACTTCGTGCCGCCCTTCGTTCGTACCCGGATG